GCGCACAATTACGCAGGACTATTGGTGGAATTCCATCAAGCCCGAGGCAAGCTTGGCCCTTATGCGGCGCACATGCTCGAACTTGGCCCTGCGTCACACGCCTTTGCTCTTCTTGGCGGCTTTATTAAACACTTTCATCAGAATCCGAGTATTCGGAGCTTTGCGTAGTTTTGTGCTTCAGCACGACTACAGTCAGTGTTAAACCATGGACGAGTTTGGGGTCCATTGGGTACATCGAAGTATGGTATGTAATAAATACTCCATGAGCAATCGCAAGACCTCAACTACAGCACCAGCACAGCTCGACGAATCTCCTGAAGTAAAGCAAGCCTGTCAGAGATATGAAGCAAAAAAAAAATGGCGCATGTCGTCCCAATCAGCTAACAAATAACCTGTATCGCCACATTCGTCTCGTACCACTGGGGCCCTGATCGGGTGGGGAGTATAGGGATACAGCTTTCAGCAGACACTGCTCAGTGGTACCCAATGGTGCATCCACAACCACCGAGTATCGGTCTGGATCAGTTGTTAGCAGTACGTCCAAGCAATTAGCCGTATGAGAGTTGACACTGTGAGTGAGAGGCGAAACAATGTTTTGGCAGCAGTAAAAAATTTGCTCTAATTCGACCGAAAATCGGTATATCGGGGTGTCTATGGGTGTTTCACAATAATTTGCGGTGAAAATTTACTTAAACCATTTTTCAAATATGGCCGCCATACAAACTTTTTTGGCGGCCGACATAAATTTGCTCTAATTCAACTGAAAATCGGCATGTGGGGTTCTGTACGGTGTTTGATCATAATTTGCGTTCAAACTTACTTTTTTGCAATTTTTAAATATGGCCGTCATTAAAGAGCTTTTTTTTTTAATACAGTTATAAGTGCCGAGACTGTAGGCCGTGGTCCAGCGAAGAGCGAAGCCCGAAGCGTCCGCACGCTACCGTACATAGGTAGTATACGGAGGCTTTATTATGAGTACCTACAAGATCTCACAATTGTTGAAAATGTAAGGCATACTTCCCAATGTAGTGGAAATGAGATACTTGTAGCGTTGTTGTATCTCCACCGTCTCTCAGTTATATTTTCTTAGAAGCTATGCCAAAGAAAAGTATTTAGGGAAAGAAATGCCAGAGAATCACACCAAATTTCTGATTTCAAATTAGGGAATTTGCTGTACTATGAATACCAGAATAACTATAACTCTCAGGGAAATAACCAGAATACCCATACCAAAACCAACTAAGGATCGTATTCTAGAACTCTACTCAATGCTCAAGTCAGGATTTGAGTATGATTCAAAGCACTAGAAATCATACTCAAGTCCTTGCCATTAGGGTCGTAGTTCCAGTGCTTGAAATCATACTCAAGTCTGCTCAAATCCTGACTTGAGTATTGAGTAGAGTTCTGTAATACGACCCTTAGGGTCGTATTCCAGAATTCTACTCAATGCTCAAGTCAGGATTGCAATTGAAACACAAGCACTGGAAATACGACCCTAATGGCAGGGACTTGAGTATGATTTCGAATGCTTTAAACCATACTCAAATCCTGACTTGAGCATTGAGTAGAGTTCTAGAATACGAGCCTTAGAATGGTTGGTTTCTTAAATTGACCCAAATCGGGAAGCGCCCATAGCACACCCCGGACACTCCATACAACATTCAAAAAGAAGAAAGTTATTTACCTACTACTATTACATACAGCAAGACGCTATCTGCACACGCGCAAATATGTTCCTTAAGGGGCTTGGTGGTGGGTTATCTATCACTTTTGTACTATTGCATCACGTGATCAATGCGGCAACATAGCGAAAATTTTAACGCGAATCTGTTATCTATAATTCTATTAACAAAATCCTAATAATTACACATATTCATTAGGATATATTATATTTTTCATTAATTCACTAACTAGAATAATATTAAAGATTTATTTAAAAAATATATTAAAAGATAACCAAGGTACTTGAAATTGCGTGTCCAAGTTTATCTTTACGTAGTTAACAATTAGGTATTAGTGAATACACGTAATGTTTATCAGCAATAGAAATTCAAAATTCAAGAACCCCTGTCTATTAGCTCACGAAGTTATGGCGCCTCATTATATTGATTTAATATATCTGTATTATATATTACTCTGCACTAAATAAATGAAGAAAACAATAACGGAATGAGTCCCAGACACAAGTCTTTTTTTACTTACTTTCTTCTTTCAGAAAACGAAAGAAACTCCTCTCTTTCCTGTCCTCCTCGTCCTCTTTAGATGATGATAAACAGCCGAACAGAGCACTATTCACGACCATTATAAATAGTAACGTACATACAATCGACAAGTACGGCACATCAGACTACACATTTTTGTTCGAAAATCGCCTCCAGTGCAACGGAACAAGATACGTCTATGTGTAGCTTGATGTGCTGGCGTGTGTACAAGTTCCGTAATGAATACATGAAAACTATATTCAAATATCAAAGCAGTCTTAGCGTGAAAACGGCTCGCCGATAGCCTTGTTGTCGTTCAGTCAATGTGACCGTCAATGTGCGGGGCGTGGTGCGGTATTTAAAGCTAGGGTGGGGCGGTGAGTGTCCATTCTCTTACTTTTTTATTCTCTGCCCATAGTACGAACCACTGTACCACCGAAGAGTTTACGCACACCCCGTAATCTAAATCCAACCACGCGCCACAGGCCGTGCGCTACCCCACGGTGGGTTACAGGACTCGTAATCAATAAAACATCCAAGTTGCATTCTGCTGAGCTACTCGAGTAACGAATTGACGAAGACTGAAAAGCCTCAGTGAGGTAAATCCCCTTGCCTCACTCTGTACTCATAGGGAGAAATATTTGTCAGAATACGCCAGTGGCGAGGCGTCGAGGCGAGTTGCAACGCGCATACCCCACCACTTAAAAAAAACATTTAAATTTCAAAATATCACCTATTAAACGCGTAACGCGTAATATCTTGTCCCCATGCATCTCGATGATCTCGACCAATCAGCGCGAGTTAAGCCGGCGGATCGGCGAGTTCCATTTCATTCATGAAATGTACGCGCTCCCATCAAAATATTCGCAACACATTCGCAAAAATCCGCTATACGTGAGGCGCACTATAAGTTTCCGGAACGAATAAGAAAAAAATACTATAAATGGTCAGAAACGAATTTATTGTTTCTCAAAATATTCTCCGTTAGCGTTAATGCACTTTTTCATACGAATGAACCAATCTTGAAAACATTTATGCCACTTCTCCCTGACAATCTCCGAAACATATTTTTCTTATTCTTCGACAGCCTCTTCAGGTGATGAAAATCGTTGACCGCGTAACTGGTTCTTAAGGGGATGGCTCATATAAGGTCAACGTTGTTCACCTTCAAAAATTCATTTGTGGCCGCCTGAGAACTAGCATTATCGTGGTGCAAGATGACACGGCGTTTACGGTTATTTTTACGGAGTTTGTGAATAACTTCCGGCAAACAAATGGTCGTGTACCAATCACTATTCACGGTACACCGATTCTCCAAAGCAACAGTAGCCACGTGTCCAGTTTTATTAAAAAAGAAGCTATCATTCGCTTGGAGCACTTTGCATGCGCGCCACTTTGGTTGGTTTTGGCTCATCTCGAAAGACCCATACGCTCGATTGCTGTTTTGTTTTGGGATCGTAATTATAAATCCATGTTTCGTTACCTGTTACTATGTCCCACACACACCAAATCCGATCCGTTTTTGAGCCTCAGTGAAATTGTGTGGAATCCACCGAGAGCACAGCTTTTTCACACCCAAATGTTTGTGTAGTATTGATTGTATTTAACTCATGCCTATGCCTAAAGATGCCCGAATCTCATGATATGTCACATGCCAGCCTGTTTTGATCATACGGCGCACAGCATTGATGTTTTTGTTGTTCACAGCTGTGGACAGGCGACCATCACGATTCGTCACTGAGATTCACACGACTGCGTTTGAAGTTTGCAAACCAGCTATAAATAGTCGTCTTGCATGGTGCTTCATCGCCAAAAGCAGTTTGAAGCCGAGTGAAGCTCCGCTGAGCTGTTATATTACACTTAAAGTCGTAGAAAATCATACTACGAAAATGTTCACGATTTAAATTCATGGTGATGTCGGCAACCAATTTCTAAAATGACGCCACAATGTAAAAACAAGTGACAGATGAAACTATTCTACAGCCAGAGTTCCGTTTTCAAATGTTGTAATTACTTTTTAAATATTGTTTTGTGTAAGTGGCTAGTTCCAGAAACTTTTAGTGCGACCTTTGTTTTTACATATTGTATAAAGAAATGGCGGCCAAGAAGCCGCAGTAATTTGAGTTATTGTCGAATAGCGTACACTTAAATTTAAACATTCCAACACGTTATAGATGTCAGAATCGTTCCCAGATGTATAACTTTCTTAAAATAATGTAATAAAATTATTATAATAGCCCAATAATACAAAATATGGTTAATTTCTAGTTTGTAAATCTTAACGATAAATATGTATCTATATTTAATTGGGTGTTTCTTTCTAACAGGACTACGTAACGAATGTATGTAGGTCATGGTAATTCGTAGGTAATTAAAATAGCAACAGTTAGCATTCATGTGTTTGTTTACATACTTTCGTATCGCGACGGGTGGGTTAAAATGTAAAATTACCAAACTATAAAAGCTATGGTTATTTTATGTGTATAATAAGTTATCATGTGAAATCTTGTGTCCTGATAAGTGTTGTGTTTTAATGTCACCAAGCGCGTTATTAACGGGAAAGAAATTTATGTGTTTTTTGTTTTTTACAAAAAGTTAAAGCTTCGACTTTACCAAGGAAAATTTTCACGCCTCGCCACTGGAATACGCATTTCTCACATTGCACTGCTTGCCACCAATATTAGAAAACTGCTATAACAACGCTCAATTTACGTGGCGCGGATCGGAATGGAAGCGAATTTTTGTAACGATATTGCATAGCATAATACATAATGAATAAGTAAACAATAAAAATACGGTATATCATTTATTGAAAGTTGTGTTATCAAGTTGATAAACAATAATTTACATTATAATTAGGATTTAAATAAGGGAGACCATTTCAAATCCCAAAGGACAATATACTTAGTTTAAAAATAGTAATAAATGTACAAACAAACACTATACACGTCAACACCTGTGTTAAATTAGCATATATTACCACAAAGAAAAGGTAGCGCCCTGCGACACGCCCGAGGCCGTATGCGGTTACAACTTGTATATCTGAACGAAACAATCACTAAAGCACCTACAATTTATTGACTAGCAGCATCATCAACGTCCATCGACTGCACTTCTTCTTTATTGACCTTATCGTCTACTTGCATGGCTTCTTCATGTTTTTGTTCCTTATCATCTGATTTAACATTTTTACTGGCGTTATCGTCGTTATCTACTGCAGTATCATTGTCTGTCGCTTTCGTTTGTTTTTTTTTCGTGGATTTAATGCCCGTGTCAGCCTTTTCAACCGACGTCTTCTTTGTGTCCTCCTCGCCGTACGATCGCAAGTCGACCTGCGGCTGCGGCTTCTCGTTTGAGGGATCTTCAGTTTTCTTTTCCGCTTTGGACGGTTCCTTCATCTCGACTGCACCGTTCTCTGCGGCTTTGGCGTCCTCCTTCATTTCCACCCCGCCGTTCTCCGCTTTCATGTCCGCATTCTGAGCTTGCACGTCATTACTTTCCGCTTTGGCTTCCAGAACCGCAATACACTTGTGGATGCATTTGATCGCCTCTTTGCGGGCGTTCCTAATATTTTCTTTGCCTTCCGTTTCGATATTGTCCAACTTAATGAGATTCCTAGTAAGCATCTCATCGAGGTATTTATATTTCTTGTCTTTTTTCGTGCCGGTAAAATTTTCGACTTCAGTCATAAGATTCAGAACTTCGGTTTGGATGGTCAGAATCTGAGTAATGGGGTCTGCGGGCGACGGCGCGCTCTTCGCCGGCGAAGAAGTCGGTTGCTCCGGAGGCGGCTGCGGTGCTTGTTGTTGCTGCTGTTGCTGTTGTTGCGGCGGTCTTTGCTGCTGCTGCTGCTGCTGCTGCTGCTGCTGCTGCTGCTGCTGCTGCCGTTGATGCTGCTGCGGTGGGCCTTTGGCATGACTGGCGCCGTCTTCGTGGTGCACCGGTATCTGTCGAAACTCGCCGTGGGCTCGAGGCGACTGCGACCGCTGCGGGGACGCGCCGCGGGCGTAGCAGTCGGGGAACGCGGGCCGGTGCTTGGCCGCGAAGGGCTCGTCGCGGTTGCACAGCGGCTCGGCGCGGCCCTCCACCACGATGGGGATGTGGCGCACGGCGGGCGCGCGCTCGTCGCTCATGGCGGGGCCCTCGGGCGGCGCGGACATGGCGCGCGGGCCGCGCGGCGGCGACGCGAGGGGCTCGGCGGCGCTGCTCCGGCCGAGGTCGACGGTGTTGCGCAGCCCGTACTGCGGCAGGGCGCTCGAGGGCGGCGGGGCGCGCTCCGTCTGCGTGGCGGCCGACTGCTGCCGGGGCGGCGACGGCGCGGTGGGCGGCGGCGGCGGCTGCTCGTCGCGGGGACCGAACGGGCGGTTCCAATGCGAGGGCAAGTGCTCCCTGAACCGCGGGATGTCTTCGAAGGGGAAGCCGGCGAACCCGCCGAAGCTGTCGCCGAAATCTGCAACGGTTACGCTCGATTGTAATCGACGTTGTTACGGGGAGATCGGTAAAACCAATGCATAGACGTAGCTCAAAGAGCGACGCGGAGTTGTTAAAACCGCCAAATATTAATTAATTACTTTTTCGCTTGTTGACGGTCACATTGACGGAATGGCAAATAGTCAGCGTGTTGTCCTTAGCGAATAGCTCGCTGACAGCTTACAGAAACAATATGCGACACCTTTTTCCGACCTTCGGTTAATAAGTGAATACTGCAGACTATTCTATAGACAGATTGGTCTCTTATAGTTACGCAAATTGACCGGTTAGCTAACACAGCCGGTTCGCAAATTCCATACTTCGTAAAGTTACGAGCGAAACATTAATACGGTAAAATGCCTCGAGAGACGGAACGGAAGAAGACCTACCTTCGGCGTCTTGACTGGAGGGACGTCGTTTGCGCGCCCAGGTAGAAGGATGTCGGTGCTGATGTTGGCGTAGGTGCGCCGCAATTTCGGGGTGTCGTGTCGCGAGGTCGCTCCACGGGTCTGCGCCGCCCTCTTCGTCCTCGAACGGAAGGCCGCGCTGCAAACCAGACAACACAATTGAGCACTGTTCTTATTCAGGGCTATTTTACACATACTACTGTTCTCTAAAGCAAAATTCAAATTAAATACAGGCAACAATATCACGTACGTCCATCGGACTAGGCAAACGCGTAATGATAAGCGACATTATGCATGCTCTATAGCTGTCATATCAATTCTTAACAAACTTATAGACAGAGTATCGAAAAACGAACACCAAAGACGCACTACGGTCCACGACAATGGTGATCGGACAACGAAGCTGAAATTAAGTTGGGCAGGATATATGGCGAGACATGGTGATGACATCAAGCGACATCCGAATTGTGGCCTAAAAGTGATTATAGAAACGTAAATGTACTCTAGCTAGATGTGTAGACAATATCGTCAAAATCGCGAGATGTCCTGTATGTAGAAAATACAAAAGAGTTTTATGAGATACACTCCAGCCAACTTCCGCCGGAAGTAAAAATATCCAAAATTCAAACAAACAAGATAGCCATTGTACAAATTTAAAAGTCTTCTGTCACGGAAACTATTAGAGAAAGGTAGGAGATGCTGGACGGAATGTTATAGAGGGTAACGGTTGATCAACTGTTTGTATAAAAAAAAATTCGGCGAATTCAAAATGGCGGCTGAAGCAAAACTTGCTTCGATCCGGCTGGAAATTAACATGCGGAGGTCTATAGGAATCCTTAATTTAGTTTAGGGTTAAATTTTTTTTATATAAGCGTATGTTATGGGAATGGTTGATTGAAACCATTAGTACCCAAGATAATCAATATTTATAGTATTTAATTATAACATCATTTTATTCCATCATTGGTATTGGAGCCCTATACAAGCATTACAACTTAAACCTAAGTATTTAACATGTTATTGTAATCATAGACTGCCTCCGTGGCCGGTTACCATTACCATGCCGGACTGCCACGCAGAGGTCCCAGGTTCGATTCCCGGGCCGGGAGAAATATTTGTATGGCCTACAATTATTTCTCTCGTGAGTTTGGGTGTAATTTGTGGTTGTCTATTGTGTGTGTCCATGGCACCCGCGACTCAGGGTGTCCCTAGTGCGGGGCTATGTTGAGTGTGTGCGTTATTCATTATTATTTATAGTGTAAAAAAGTTGCCAAAGCAGGTCTTTACAAAGTACAAACATAACCGCAACCTCTGGCTGAGGCGACGTTAGCTAAAACATAAGTATGAGGTAAACCAAATACTGCGAACGCCGAAGACAGTATTATCACGGTCTAATCAATTCTTATAGTCGGCCAACGTCTAGAGCAATCGTGCAGAGTGTGCGAGGCGAGAGAGGGGCGGGTGCGAGCCCGAGCTGCCATACACACGCTCAGGAGATTCAGTGTTGCGGCAATTACGTTAAATACTTCCGCGTGGCTGTAGTGATTTGTTGACTGGAAAATGGCAGAGTTGAAACGGATATCCGGTATCCGGATAGGAAAAATATTTTTTAAATATTAAGTGACGGTACGAACAAGTCATGTGCCTGATGGTGAGCTGCACGCCTATCCATAACAGTTGCAACGCGACTCAAAGCTTTAAAACGCAAAGATCCACTGCCACTGCGCCCGTCACTTTCGGACATAAGTTGACAAGTCCATGTGCCCGTAATTGCACCAGCACCTTTACCCTTCCAAACCGGAACACAGTAATGCCTATTTTACTATCCGGCCGGATACCGGATAGTATAGAACAATGTCCAGCCGGATACCGGATGTTGAAAATTGTGCAAAATTCAGTACGCCAAATAAATTGATTGATTGATTAAAGAGAATAGTAATAATCATCTGTTTACTACTTGTATAAGAAAGAACTATGAGTTAGTTAACGTTATCTGTAAATTTAGAACTCAAAATTCAATAAAGGTGTTAAATATGATGGAAGACCAGTTTTTCTGCATTTAATTGGTAAAAGTCGGTTCTATTTATTTTCATAAACGAGACCAGCTTCAGAGTCACACGATTGATGCAATATGGGCACAAGTGCCGACTGTGCGTCTTCTTGTCAAACATGTACAATAGTGCTGAATAATACAATTCATATAATTATTATTTATTGTGTTTTATTTTTAATTAAAACATAATATGTCCTTAATCTAACATGCCGCGACAGGATGTGCCCTCATAATAGCCACGCATTCACATTCGCATCACGGCGATGCGCGCTGTAAACCGGTGGGTCAGATATCCGGCCTAAGTGCTCGCCGGATACCCGGTCAAATCACTATCGGTTTCATCTCTCGAACATTGGTACATTCTACATGTGCTGTTAGAGACTGCATATCATCATCTCGCATAAATAAAAATCTTAAATTTCATCAGTTTCCGCATACAGAAGAAGAAAAGTGACTCAAATAATTTTATCTTGTTAGGTTTAGGTAATGAAATTAAAAGCGAAATGGGGGACCTTGTACGACGCGTCGCTATTAAAATCAAGCTGCTTGCGCTTTTACTCATTATCTATTCGAATAATGGTATTATTTCTTTTTCAATTACAGCTAATATGGATATCGTCTTCGGTGTTTTAGTGTGCGCTCATTACATACAAACATGGCATTTATTTCTAAATCCAAGATGACGGACACGACTTTTCAAATAAATGCAGTATGGGTATCATTTTCGAGGTAATTAGGGGTGCTCATTACGAATATGGCACTCATTTGTAAACCCAAGATGGTGGGCACGAATTTTCAAATAATGACAAGTTGGGTATCGTTTTTGAGGTATTTGGGGGTGACGTAACGAATATATCATTAATTCTAAATCCAAGACGGCGGACACGGCTATTCAAACAAAAGCGATTTGGTTATAGTTTTAACTGTTATCGTGGTTGATGATTATGAATATCATAAATAATCCTTGACAGACTTGATACAATACTTAACCAAAGTACCATGCTTATTATTATTTTCAGACGCAAGCTTTTGATTGAAGCATGTGGAAGACCCACTAATCAGGAAAAGTACTTTTATAAAATATTTTTTAAATTATATTCCTTGTATACTACCTACACACTGCAACTACTGCTCAAACTATACAACCGCTTGTGGGAAAGCCGCACATCGACATCTTTTTTTTTTGTTCCCAATACGGCCATAGTAGTAGGACACCCACTCCAACAATAAATTTAAAAAAAAACACATGGTTTTCACCCTGCGATACATAATGTCTAGACGAAAGCGGCGTTTTACGAGATTTCAAAGGCGATGTACCACTTTATGTTCTTTACACTGTGGTATTATAAAAACGTAAGACCGGTAAGCGGCGGAGACGAAGTCCTCTCCATTTATGGCAAGGACGGGAAGTCGACCTTATAACTTTCGTGTATTTGCGGCTGGTGCCGTGTTAAGAAACGGAAACTAATGACCACGACCTTCTTGTTTTCTTCGAAGATGGTTTCATTCTATAGAAAGGTAACACTTGCCCGAACGTAATCCGTAAAAAAGTATTAAATGGCAGAGCATGTAAGATTCTGTTTCAATCTATAATTAACATAAAAAACAAAAAAATATTTGCGTTATACATTTCCAAGCAATCGATTGTCTCGATAATGATCACAGGTGTGGTTTACTTGCCATTGTGTTGAATCAGTTTTGTTCATTATACATCCAATCGATGATCAGAACATTGCGGCACCCACAGGAAGTATCTACTCACTCGCAAGTTAGAATAATAAAAATAAAAAATATTTTATTTCGTCTCAAATTTTGACAAAATTGCATACAATGTTATATTTTTAAGTATGAAAATACTTGAATATTAATCGACACGCTTTGACTTGCGCATCGGGCCCTCTTCTACGAGAAGACTAGTTAATAATGTTTTCAGTGTAGTCACATTGAAAACATTTGATGGCCATTAGATATTTGCACTGATATTGATTTATTTAATTTTAATCGAAGCGACAAACTAAGCTCAGCTGGATTAATCGTGTTTCTTAGAAGTCGTGTTGTTTACGTGCTGAGGTTTGCGCGGGCGCATTATCTGGTTGACTTGGTGTAAAGGTTTAAATGTCTTCACCGCAATGTTTGCCATAAACGATACAATGAAAGGAATGAATTATTTTGTTTGTAATCCCTACGACACGCAGCAACCGGTTTATCGGAAGGGATTACGAATATCAACCAAGATACTAGTATCGCAAATGTTGTTATGTAAGCCAGTTCGAAGCCGCGATCGCGCAACTTGTGGTCATATATAAATACACGATTAGTGAGCAAATACTTATTATGTTAAGTGCTAACAAGCCACGTGGCGTTGATGATAACTCGAAGGACACCTGTTCATTATTTTAATTTAAATTAGTAACCCGATGAAGCAACCGTGTCTGGGCGTGCTTTCTCTATTTGCATGCTTACCTCAAAAATATCCAACTATGCTAGTGTGTCTGTGTATGTAAAATAAAAAAAACTTTCATGACGAACACGGATGACATCACCGCGTGGGCAATCGCAGCCGCGGTCGCATCGAGGCGTCGCGACCAACACAAATTGCGTCACGGCATTCGATCGAACGATGCAAATTTTGTTTCACTCAGTCGTGTGTCCTCCATGGTTTCGTATTCATATAGTTTTTGTATTTGTTGGCTTTACTAAATGCTCATGTAAATTACGCTGAATGTGTTAAACAATATGACAAATTATGAGAATATAATAAACGACAGAAATCCAAAAATATGAAAAATTTATGAATCTGAGAGCTTTTTACTAAATTAAAATTATCATTCCAGCTTTCTTTATTATTTATATTATTATTAGCAAACATGTATAATTTAGGTCAATGATAATTATAGTGTTTTTCTCAAATAGTACGAGGAAATAAAGACTAAGGGAGTGAAACAGAATACATATATGCTCTTCTCACTAGTGTTCATTTTCGCGAAAAAAATATAGACAATACAAACAAATTGAAAGAACAAAAGGGAACCGTAGAGTTCTTTCGTTTATTTTACTGACTTTTTAAATATTATGGTGCATTGTAT